CTGGTACATAATTATATGTATATAAAGGTGTCTCCCCTCTTACATGGGGAGCCCCACTTGAACTTGTGATCTAATTGAAGCATAACTCGCGATTTATTCCTTCTAAAGTTCTAGGGGCAAGGGTTTTGGGGATCCAGGATTTGGTTTGGTGTAAGTTGGGATACCTGAATATCAATATATATATATATATATATATATATATATATATATATATATATATATATATATATATATATATATATATATATATATATATATATATATATATATATATATATATATATATATATATATATATATATATATATATATATATATATATATATATATATATATATATATATATATATATATATATATATATATATATATATATATATATATATATATATATATATATATATATACACCATTATCATTTTTTGTTTTGCAATAGAAACAAATTTTAAGAATTATTGTAAAAAAATATTTTCCTTTAATTGATAATTTTCATGTAAAACAAAGCTAAACGAATAACAAAAGATAGATGATTTTCTTAAATTTTTTTTTTTTGTTGGAAATGAAAACAAATTTAATTCCCAATACCAGTAAAATCTATCTCTTTAATTGGCAATTTTCATGTAAAACAAAGCCAAACGAACACCAAAAAATACTTTTATTTCAACATTTTTCATGTGAAAAATTATACCAATCAAACACAATAATTTACAATTCTCAGAAAAATAATTTCTAGGAAATTCAATTTCTTGAAATTCATTTTCAATTCAATTCAATTCTACCTTTACAATCAAACGCACCCTAAATAATGTTTCAAATAAATATGCAGTTTAAAAATCATTTTTATATTTATGTTACTAAACAATCAATTTAATGTTGGCTCTAGGTTACGTAGCACCGCTCAACACCGTCTTCAATTTAATGTTTGTTAATTTTCATGGAGATTTTGCTAATTCGAGTTTTGACTTTGGTAATTTGGATTTGATTTTCCTAAGGTTACGAATTTTTCGTAGTTAAGTTATTTTCAGTTTTCCAGCATTCATCTTTGGTTTCTGCCATTCATGTTTAGAAAACTCTTCTTTCAATTTGTTCTCCTGTATTTTCATGGCTTTCTATCTCTGTAGAAGGATTTCAGGATCAATCTTAAATTTATTAGCTTAGTACCCTCGAGCGTTTTTAACTCAATTCCCAGGACATTTGAATGGGTATTTTGGGGCGGATAAGTTGGTGTTAGAAACGAATTAGATAGTTGTTGATTCCATGCATGGAAAAAAAAAATTTGTAAGAGTGTTTTTTTACTAATAAGTGGAACACAAGTAATGATCATTCATGAGGAGTTTAATCCCAACTATTCGTCCCAACAAAAGTAATGCACTAATTCAGAAAGAATGAGGTAAAAGCATGAGTAGAAGCGGCATGCATCAATAACTGTCACAAATTAACAATCGGTGTTGAGCAGTACTATTTAAACTAGAATAGAGAGAAGAAACAGTAGGATGAATGATATATCGTTGATTCTATCAACGACGGAGTGAAATAACCATCTATAAATGAACTAAAAATTAGAAATATCAAGCGACAATATAAATAACGGCAAAAATAAAAGCATTGCACTTCTTGGCTAAGTCTTAGACATTTGATTTAGGGACGTAAATTAGTCTAGATAAAGTTTAGAGTTTAAAACATTCAAATCTATGAAGAATCATAACTAATCTTGGTAGAGATTTTCATTGGTTAATTCCAATCGAACTTAAGCGAAAAAGGATTGAGTGATGAGAATTCAACTTTTACAATAGATATCCTAAGATTGAAAATAAAGATTAAGTTTGCGAATGTGCATTTTACAAGAAAAATCCAAATATTTGATGATTTTTTGTAACAACATTTTAAATATTTTTCTTATTAACTAATTTGAACATAAATAATCGATTAATTATCAATTGTATTTTTATGTACGCCACAGTTATCCCGTAAACTTCGTATTCTTCTCTCTCTCTTTTCTTTTTTTTCTTTTTTTTTTTGTTCTTTCTGTCCTCACTTAGAGCCTATTTGATTGGCCACATTTTTCATGGAAAATGGAACTTTGTAAAGCATGGGAGGAAACGCAGCGTCCGAGGCGATGACCGAAAAGGGCCTTCGCGTCAGGTGCGTCCAGGCTTTGTAAAGTTGGAGGAGGAGCTCATCTGCCACCAGTGCGCTGACCCAAAAGGTTGACGCGTTGGGAGATGGCTAAAACTTTGTAAAGCATGGGAGGAAACGCAGCGTCCGAGGCGATGACTGAAAAGGGCCTTCGCGTCAGGTGCGTCCAAACTTTGTAAAGTTGGAGGAAGAGCTCATCTGCCACCGGTGCGCTGACCCAAAAGGCTGACTCGTTGGGAGATTGCTGAAACTTTGTAAAGCATGGGAGGAAACGCAGCGTCCGAGGCGATGACCGAAAAGGGCCTTCGCGTCAGGTGCGTCCAAACTTTGTAAAGTTGGAGGAGGAGCTCATCTGCTACTGGTGCGCTGACCCAAAAGGCCGACGTGTTGGGAGATGGCTGAAACTTTGTAAAGCATGGGAGGAAATGCAGCGTCCGAGGCGATTCAAACATCAAATAATTTGACAACTGTTGCGTGTTTTCAAGATGACAGTTGGGTGCCATGCCCATTCTCCTAAAAGGCTGCTGCGACTACTAATTATTATTGACGGCTGGTTGTAACTGATGTGACGCGTTTCAAGCAAGCGTGAAAGTCACAGCGACATCTTGGGCATAGATCAAATTTGGCGTTTCATTTCAACGGCCTAGATTGAAGATACGATGAACGGCTTAGATTGATCGCATTTGAATTCAACAGTGAAGATCGGATTTATTTTTCTATAAAAGGAGGACTCTGAGGTTTTCTCAGGCTTTCTACCCTTGCGAAACTAACATCATATTTTGCTCTCAAGTTATTGGCAATTTCCGGCGTTTTGTAAGCAATTCTGGCGAGAAAACTAGACTTCCGGCGACCTTACACCATTTCCGGCTAGGAAAACCTCCAAACCCGTAAGTTTTAGTACCTATTTAGGCTTTTAAATTTTGAAAGAATGGCCTCAGAGGGGAGCTCTGGATCGGGGAGGGGTTTAGAAATGATGAGGGTGGACGAGCCCATTGTGGCGACCTCCTCAGAAAGAGCCGAGGCAATAATGGGGGGGAGAATATATGGAAAAGACCGGATAGTCCACTAGATACCTCTGTGCATTGGGGGACGTCGGACTACCCATCAAAATTAAGGGAGGCTGACCTGGGGAGACTTAGGACAGAGTATATGATCCCTGATAGCGTAGATTTGATCCTCCCCGGGCCGGAAGAGAGAGCCTACTACCCTAGGCCGAGCTGTGTGGCCATTAGTGAGGCGATCCTTAGGGCCGGACTTAGGCTGTCCGTTCACCCATTCTTTAGGATGGTGTTTAGGTCCTATGGGCTAGCCCCGACGCAGCTCAATCCGAACTCCTGGAGCCAGATGGTGGGCTCCTGGATGTTGTGGGAAGAGGCATCATTAGGGGTGGAGATGTCCCTTTCCGTTTTTCAAACCCTTTATATTTCTAAGGTTACTGCCGGGGGGATAAGACCCGAGGATGGTATTACCTTACGTCATGAGGTTCTCACACTCCATTCGTGGTCGATCTGTCGAGCTCCATCAAAGAATGGAAGAGCTCATGGTGCTGGGCAGCAGGGCGATGGGACACGATGGAGGGGGACCCCCTGGAGCCTCTTACAGTTCCAACGAAGTTTTCAACACTTAGTCAGTATAGTAGTAGTTGCTCCTTATATTTCTCTTCGGTTCGAATTGTGTCTAATAGTTACATTTTCTTTGTAGGTGCTCTTCCTCGGTGCGAGCTGTCAACCGAGGACTTTGACACCATCTGTGTCATTTATCAGCTGCCTCAAAAGAAGAGGTCCTACCACAGGCTGATCTGAAAGAACATCCATTTTATCACTCACGATTTAATGGCATCCCAAGGTAACTGGACCGAAGTCTTTACTTTTTATTCCGAACTCCCAAGACTTGTATTAATTCCTTATTTGCTTCTTTGCAGACAACTTTAATAAGAAGCTGCCAGTGCTCCTCGACTTCAAGACCATCCAGAAGATGATGGCAGAGGCACAGGCGTTGAAGGCCTCCTCCTCCTCGTACAAACAGCAAATGGAGGAGTTGGTGGAGGCCAGTAAGAGGCTCCAGCCCCCAACGGAGGAGGAAGTACCGGAGGACCCGGAGGCTGACCTTCGAAGGAAGGGTAAGAAGAGTGCCGCCCCTCCAAGAAGCCCAACTGTGGCGATGCCACCCCCAACTTTGAGGCAGACCACAATTCCCACGGGGGTGGCCCTCCCAGAGAGAAGGCCTACTCCAACTGAGCCCGTCACTGCCTCGACCACAACACCCCTCGCTGCAGTGCCAATTGACCAAGCGTCGGGGCAGCAGAAGAGAAAAAGGCCCCGTCCCTCTAAGGAGGTCGACTTTCTGGGCACCAATCCTGACGAGCCCGTAAGGAAAGTGTTGGAGGCTCTTCCTCCCGAAACAGCTGTGGTGGTGGTGGTCCACAATAAATACTGGACGGAGGAGTGGAGGGACCACACTGCCTCCTGCACGGCTGAGGACTTGGTGGCCGCGAACAGCGTATATGTGGCTCGGGCCCTGAGCACAAGCATCCAGTTTGAGGGCTTGGTGAAGTATCTGAACTCTAAGAGGGAGTACCTCGCCAAGCGCCTTGAGGAGGCGATGCATTACGGGGATGTCGTGCGGGCGACTCAGGCCAAAGCCACGCAGGCAGAGGAGGGAAAGAAAGATGCTAAGGCCCAGCTTACTATCACGAAAGTAGAAGTGGAACGGCTGAGGTAGAATGCCAAGTGGCTGCTGTGACTCGGTGACTTGATCACGCCAATGAGCACCACAAGCTCGCCACCGATGCTCTGGAGGCCTCCAACAAAGAAAAGGCAGAGTTGAGGCAGAAGGCAGAGGCCCAGTCAGAAGAGATTGCCTCTTTAAAGGAGGAGTTGAAGTCTGCAGGGGAGGTGGTAGTCCAGAACTTCATTGACCATTTCGAAGACCATCCCTGTATGACGACTTCGCCAACTTCTGGGCCTCATGGAGTGCCCAAAGCTTACTAGGTCGACTGAAGGAGGTGCATCCCACTCTGGACATCTCTTCATTGGAGGCAGAGTTTGGGGGACCAACTGGAGGTCGGCCTGATAGGGTTGTCGAGGGGGCTCCGGAGGCCTAGGAGGCGGCCAATGTAGAAGTCCCTCCAGCAGATTAGGGCTACCTCTTGTAATGACTTCGGCCCCACTGTACTTAAATTTATTAAATAAAATGAAAATTTTTGTTAAGTATTTGGGCTTCTGCTTCTTTGTAATTTCTATCTGTTTATACTTGTATAAACGACAAACGTCAGACTAATTGCCTCGCAACAATAACCAGTTAAGAACTGCATATCGGACCACTTAAGTTATAAGTTTAAACACTTGAGCGAGTATGAAGCGACTCTTAATGTCAACTTGTTAATAATTTGAGATCAGACCACTTAAGCAAACATGAAGAGCCGC